CCACATGAAGTGAAAAAGATATCAAGTCCATACCATCACTAAACCTTTTCACAGGGGCAAATTGTGGGAGGGGGGCTTGAATTTAGAAATTGGATTCCTGGGAGTTTCAAACTACCACACCCCCTGAGCTCCCAACTTACTGTGGAGTGCTGGAGGCTGCTGGATCCAATCTCAGCCTTGCATTATGCCAACACTTTCGGTTTAGAGGAATTACAGTGGTGTGACTGAACCACTTTTGTTCCCCAGGTTTTAATGATGCCAAAGCAGATCTATTGATAGAAAGGAATTATTTAGGGTTACAAGTGATCAGACAAAAGATCTTCATCACAATTATTTACTGCACAATACAAACACTAAAACTACCAGGAATACAGGATAAGATAGGACAGTGCTCTACACTAAAAAAATTGTTGAAGCAATTCTACTCAAGCTGGCACAAAAGCAAGAATTCTTAATTAGAGATGGATGGAACTCCCCCAGACCAATGCTTGTGGGGAGATCTCTGCTCTCAACCTCCAGGACTGACCTTGGGGGGTCCCCAGCCAAGGCAGGAATCTCCACACACCCCCCAAGAAGGGTTCTGTTGGAAGAACCTGCCCCTGGGAAAGGGGACTGGCCCTTTGTGGTCGAAAGGGATGGACTGACAGTCACTGGACTCCAGGGGTTGCCTCACCATCAGGGGCTTCATTCGGGGTGGAAGCAGCGGCCAAAGCTCTTCCTGCAGTTGGGGCACTGGTAGGGCTTCAGTTACTGGTGGGTCCGTTGGTGTTTGGTCAAGCCAGACCTGTCAGTGAAGCTCTTCCCACACTCCTCACACTTGTAGGGCCTCTCCCCCGTGTGGATGCGCCGGTGTCTGATGAGGTTGCCGTTCTGCTTGAAGTCCTTCCCGCAGTCGGTGCAGCGGAAGGGCCTCTCATCCGTGTGTGTCTGCTCATGCCTGAGAAGAGTTGAGCTGCGCTGAAACCTCTTCCCACATTCCAAGCACTTGTAAGGCCGTTTTCTGATGTGGATGCCCTGGTGGGTGCGGAGGTTGGAGCTGTACCTGAAGCTCTTCCCACATTCCCGACACGTGTAGGGCCGTGCCCCAGTGTGGATGTGCTGGTGTCGGATCAAGGTGGAGCTGTCCCTGAAACTCTTCCCACATTCCTGACATGGGTATGGCCGTTCCCCAGTGTGGATGCGCTGGTGTTTGATCAGGGAGGAGCTGTTACTGAAACTCTTCCCACAATTGCTACATGAGTAGGGACATTCCCCAGTGTGGATGTGCTGGTGGGTGAGGAGGTTAGAGCTCAGGTTGAAGCTCTTCCCACATTCCAAGCACTTGTAAGGCCGTTTTCTGGTGTGGATACGCTGGTGGGTGAGGAGGTTGGAGCTGTACCTGAAGCTCTTCCCACATTCCCGACATGTGTAGGGACGTTCCCCAGTGTGGATGTGCTGGTGTCGGATAAAGGTGGAGCTGTCCCTGAAACTCTTCCCACATTCCTGACATGGGTATGGCCGTTCCCCAGTGTGGATGCGCTGGTGGGTGAGGAGGTTGGAGCTCTTCCTGAAGCTCTTCCCACATTCCAAGCACCTGAAGGCCTTCTCCCTGCTGGGAGGCTGCTCAGGGACCACCAGCTCACAGCTCTGCCTCAAGCTCCGGCCGCCTTCCTGGCACAGGTTGAGTCTTTCCTCCTCAGAGCACCCTGGGCTGGCTTTGGAGCCCCTCCTGCAGGGGGATCTCCAGCCCTTTTCCTCCCCGCTGCCTTCCTGCACCGTGGAGCCCTTCAAAACGGC